CATATACTTGTACATGTACATACATACATACATACATACATACATTCATATATATATATATATATTATATCAGCAATCCCCTACCTGTGTCGTTGGTTCTCGTTTGTGCGTCTTGTGCAGCGTTGCGTATGTTTCGCATTTCTTCATGTGTGTTGTGCATTTGCTGACGGAGACCTTCGACTTCCTATCAACAAATGTTCAACAGAAGAGTTAAACCGAGTTACAGAAAATTCTGGTTTATATTGGACACTGGAGTATTCAAGTCACGATGGTTAAGTTTATTCATTCTTCTAACGTCTGCTGACTAGCATAGTACACCATCCTACCTCACCCAACGTGAAAACGTTTACGTTTTCCCGGTCTTCACAGATATCAGATGCTGATAAACGCAAGTAAATGCCGCTATTACAAAACCCAACTTAACACACTGTGTAGGAGATACAATGATTGCAGCGCAGTACACTTTAAGTACACTTTACACTGACAAACGTAAGCAAATGACGCTATATTCTTGCATAAACGACACGCACGTAAAAAGCGACCAATATACATACATGAAATGACACGCACACAAGCGACTAAAATACGTATAATAAACGACAAGCACATAAAAAGCGACCAATATACATACATGAAATGACACGCACATAAGCGATTCAGTTACGTATAATAAACGACAAGCACATAAAAAGCGACCAATGTACATACATGAAATGACACGCACATAAGCGATTCAATTACGTATAATAAACGACAAGCACATAAAAAGCGACCAATGTACATACATGAAATGACACGCACATAAGCGACTCAACTACGTATAATGAACGACAAGTACATAATAATCGACCAATATGAATGTAATAAAAGAAACGCACAAAAAAGCGACCAATATACCTAAATTAGACAACACGCACATAAGCGACCAATATATATATAATAAAACGACAACCTCATAATAAGCGATCAATATACATGCAATAAACGACAAGCACACAATAGGTGACCAATTTACATATATTAAACGACAACCACATAATAAGCCACCAATAGATACGCATTAAACGACAAACACATAATAAGCGACCAACAAACAAGCAATAAACGACAAGCACATAATAAGCGACCAATATACACTCATTAAACGACTCGGCAATCTCACCTGTACTTTAGCGTTGTATTGCACCTGACTGGAGTCGGCAATCTGCTGCAACTCCGCGTTTTCACTCTCCACCTCATTCAGCCGATCCTGCAATTGTCCCACACTGTCCTTCAGCTCTTCGTTATTAGTCCGCAATTCATCGTTGTCGTGTCTGAGCTCCTCCATATTGTTCTGCAACTCCTCGTGATTAGTCCGGAACTCTTCAGTATTATTCCGCTTCTCCCCTTCTAGCTGAGCGAGTGCCTGCTCCGCGCGCTGGATGTGCTCATTACTAGTTCTCTTCTCTGCCTCCAGTTGCGCAAGTGCCTGTGTTAGTCGCTGTATATGCTCCGTATTAGTCCTCTTTTCACCCTCCAATTGGGCCAAAGTTTGTTCCAAGCCTTGTATGTGTTGTTGCGCACCTTCTTGTTGTTTGCGCAGTTCAGATTGTAGTCCGAAAATCTGGTCACGCAGAGTTTGGGCTTCAACCTGTCAATGATTTTGCAACGGAGATTTAGAATAAGGCATATATCACCGAAAAGTGGGTTCACATTGGCATATCTACCGTTAATACTTTTATTCTGGCATCTACCCCTTTGTGAGATAAAAAAGTGTTATTTTTAATAATAAAAACCCCTAACTATATATATATATATATATATTTCGGATATGTTGTTAGCAACGAAGGTTCTAAATATGGCATACATCAATGAATATCAGGCTCGTATTGGCAGGTACATTCAACAATCCAGTTCTGGCAGCAGGCTGTGTGGGATTCTCGTGTAGCAGGTATGTTACAGTAACGTCAACTCTAAAATAGTGTATATATCAGTCAGAAATAGGTCATATGTTCATGTACGCACAAAAAAATTGGGCTGGCTGCAACCTGTTTCCGATTCTCAATCGGTACAGATATGCTATACGCAACGAAAGTTCCAAAATATGTCATATATCATCCAAAATATAACATGTCTCATCCAAAATATATCATGTATCATCCAAAATATAACATGTATCATCCAATGTATAACATGTATCATCCAATATAGAACATGTACCATCCAAAATAGTTTATAGATTATTGGATAAATGGGTTATACGTCCATGTACATTCAACTACTTCACTCTGCCTTCACACGAATATACGCAATGCCTAGACCTAAATGAATGTTCATCGCATCCAAGTGTGCGTGTACATGCACGTACGGCAGAACGAAACACAATACTCACTCTACACCAAGACTTGTGACGCACAGGCGAGTTCCAACAGTACAACAGAGGGTATCCAGGCAATAGTATCTCAGTATCACCCCCTAGTCCACATTTATGTTGACCCAAACTTTACGATATCACATATAAACCAAGTTTATCCATTCAAAAAGCCGGGATTTCACTTTCACAATCTGGCCTTTAGTGCTGGCATCACATATAAACCAAGTTTATCCATTCACGAAAACAAGTTTGCCCGTACACTACCTGGCCATTCGTGTTGGCATTATTGGCCGCTCTCTCAGTTTCCAGTCGTTGCTGTGCCTCGACCAAATCTCGACCCAATTCTGCAATTTGCTGCTGGAAGTTCTCCTCTTCTCGATCGAACAAATGGGTTTGGCTTTCGATAATCTGCAAAATAGATATATGCACTTGAAAATTAGTATACGTAAATATGCCTTCTAGCCTTTTTTTGTGTGTGAATTGCTGCTGAAACTTCACCTCTTATCGATCGAATAAATGGGTTTGGGTTTTTTTAAACCTCCAATTTGGATATGTGTACTTGAGAAATAGTGTACATTTAACTCTTTAAGATTGTTCTGTTCTGTGAATTGCTGCTGGGAGTTCCCCACTTCGCGATCGAAGGAATGGGGCTGACTCTCTAAAATCTTTAATTTGAGTAGATGACTGGTGCGTGTGCATATACGCACAAACAATGTAAATTAAACTTTCTCTTATAACAAGAAATATAATATAATAAAACGAAGTAGCCCTCACACCCGAAAATAAACACAGCTCGCTGTTTACATAGAGATATATACACCCATATACAGATGTCATGGTGTAGCAGACATATATCTATATACACAGACACACGCACATCAGTATAACGCTATCGTATTGGTCATCTTCCTCTCGGTCAGACAGACGACGTCCATTCATTGTACTCTATAATTCTCTCTATATCGGCATGCACTAAGCTCTGTATGTGTCAAGTTGTGGAAACATACACCGAAGTATATAATATATCTAAATACAGTTAAAATTGCCTCCCCTGGACGACATGGAGATGTAGTATATATATATATATATATATATATATATATATATATATATACACACACACATATATATATATAGATATATATATATATATTATTATATATATATAATAATATATANATA